CCAAAACCCAAGAATCGAAGACGGCGATCAGAGAGCGGACCTAAAGCTGGCCTCTCTTGCCTCAAAAATCGGACACGGAGATTGAAGATCCTGGTTGTCCTGCCCATTTTCCTACTCAGCCTCATCAATACATTCAAGAAGCACCGAGTCCGCCTCGCCGATACAGCCAACAAAGCCACTGTTACCGGATTCGCTAGTCGCTACCCATCACGAGAGATATAGATAACCAGAAACCCACCCCCGGAAAGCGCCCAACGTCTTGGGTGTTCTCTTCTCCAATCGACCCGATACTAACCAGCTTCAAGTATGCTTCATCTTCCACTGTGTGAACTGGGTCTTACTAAACAGAGGAACCTGAATTCAGATGATGTAAATTGGGTCATATTAATCGGACGTCTTGAGTTTGGCCGTTTCTTGACTGCAAATTGCTTTTGATTGGTAGTTCCTACGGTTTCTAGTTGATTTATTTTTAGTTTAGTAAAGAAACACTCATGATTCTTAATAGACACTCTGAATACGTGGATGGTTTGAGAATTGTAAATTTCTATTGCTTGATTCCCATAGCTTTTCTAGACCTTGCCTACTGCTTCTCATTGATTTGGAAGCTTTAATCCATAGATCCATTGGATACATAGCAACCCAATACCTACTAAGTACTAACAGCAACACATATAAATTCATAATGTGTTCTTTGATGCTATCTGAATATGAATGTTTGAATGATTGCTTGTTGTTTGCTTGGTTTTTCTAGGGAAATATGGCTTCAGAAATGAATGATGATAGTCTATCAATGAATCACGAGAGTAGTAATCAAAACCATCCTAGGGTGTCTTCTAGTTGTATGGTATGGTCTTCTAGGAAGCAGTGGTATAAAGTGTGGAAGGAATATGATCGAGTTTTGGTTAGTGGGTTGAGAAAAGCTTAATGCAAATACTGCCATAGAAAGCTTGTTGCTGAATCCACCTCTTGAACTTCCCCCACCCTTGTTTACTTATTCACTGGGGTTTTGCCTCTTTTAATGGTTCAAAAGAGTCTCTGCAGAAATTAGTCCTACTTTTTGTCGTTGCTGCCTGGCCTTGAGAATTAGCCCTATCAAAAGAGTGGTTGGTTTGCTTCTGTTTATCATGTGCTGAAAACTGCTACTTTCTTCTCAAGTCTGTTGTTACTAACTTTTTACGCAATTCTGTATTAGTCAGATCTGGAGCGGCGAATCAGAAAACAAAGCTCTTTGTCTAATGGGGTTTCAGAGGTGATTTTGTGGTTTGTTTTGATCCATTAGTTTTGCTGGTAGTGGAATGTTCCATGGCCCGAAAAAACGCTGGCTAGTTGACATAAGGGACCGAATTGAAGAGCCTAGTAGGCAATCTGAATCAGATACTCTGCAGTCCATTACACCAAGCAAATGAGAGAACTGAGATGCAGTCCATTACACTAGTTCATTAGATTAGTAACTGTTATTCATTATTTTGCAGGTGTCGCCATTTTCTCTCCCGATGTTGATGGTTCGACTCAAATCATATTCTGTCAAAATGATGGCGGTGATGATGAACAAGTTATGGAATATGAGGAATGAGAAAGAATCTGGGAGTTTGTTAAGGACTTGAATCATGAAGTTGTTCCTTCGCAGAGTATGAGAAAGAATCATGAAGCTATGCACTTTTCATGACAGTAGAGAGCTAGCTATAGTTCTTCTTTGCGACTTACTCGAATTTCAATAGTAATGAAGTTATGTTTGATTTGATTATGCAGTGATGTTATGTTCAAAACTCAAACAAAGTATCTCATTTCTGTTGTTGGGTTCCTCTGTAATACTCTGTCTTTCAGTAGTGTGTGTTGCTCTTGGGGCAAGGTTGATAACAACTCCATTTGTATATGTTCTTTCAGTAGTGTGTGTTCTGCTGTAACACTCTGTCTTTCAGTCCTGTCAGGTTGCTGTTTTCGCACAACCTTTAAAGCTCTGAAAGAGTTTGCTTTTCAAGTGAAGTAAAGAACCTAATGAAAGTTCCAAACACATTCTGCTTAATCATATTCCCAAACAACTACTCAAGTGAGCTGTAAGCACACCAGAAAATCTTAGATTCTCTAAAACTTGAACAAGAAACAATAAACTCACATCATCATTATTCACATCCTAGGATTACAGTAAGCACTTCCGAAGTGCTGCTACTTGTAAGTTGTAACAAGAACACGAAATTTCTTGCACCAAATGAAGCAGCACGACGCACGCCATTTGCCGCCTCCGTCGGATGGAAATCATCCCAGATCCTAGATCCCAAATCGATGCACAGATCCTAAATCCCAGATCGATGACCGGCTAGAGGACGACGACGACGACGATGGCGATTCTGACTCTTCCTCCGACGTCATCATCAACACTAAGTCCTCTAATAGCATCCCCGTCGGTAACATCCCCACCACCCACCAGCTTTTCCCGGAGAGAACCTGCGTCCGGCGTCATCATCCTCGCCTATCGGTCGGAAGCGGAGGCACCGGCATCCTGCGCCGTCGAAGCAGCCGACGAAGAGCTGGAGCACGCTGTAGCAGAAGTTACATTTTAGTACCTTAATTTTTTGAGAAGATACAAATAGGTCCAGCATCATGTGTGGAAAACTATATTTTAATACATTAAAAATTTTGCTTTATATTGTAACACCTAATAAATAAAACATTTACAGGCAGGTCCAAAGAGATGGGTACCCAAGCCCAATCCATACCCACTTTCAAATTGAAAATAAAATCCAAACCCAACTCCACCTACCCAAACACTATCCAAATTCATATAGAATAAATCCATACCCAACCCATATAATGGGTATAATTGGGTTTGGGCAAAAATACCCATGGGTGGGTCAATTGCCATCTTGTGACTTCCTTTGCTACTTGTTGGTGAACGGTCCTCATTGAGAAGATGGTAGTGTTTGCTCTCATCCATGACCCCCACTTCTAGATTGAAAGAAAAGGCTGCGGAGCTTTTTAACTCCTTTTCTTCAGTTCGCAATCTTGCTTTGATTGCTCAATCCTTTCACAAAATAGCATAAAGATTTATTTTGATGGAAAATGTAGAAGCCTTCTGGGAGGAATTTCAAAATGTCGACTTCGACAAAGATTTCCAAAAACTTCTGGGGGTCGTTTGGATGGGGAAAAGTATAAACAAGAGATTTGGACTTAATTCCCTCATTTAAAAAAAACAGAGATTTTAAACAAAGAATTTGGCCAATTTATATGTTTGTTTACCAATAAGAATTTCATTAATAAAAAATTTGTTTTTATTGACAAATAGCATAATACGATTTTACCCTTTCCACCTAATCCCACTTCTCTTCCTCCTCTGCGATGGATACACCCACCGCCCTCACTTTCCCAATCTGGGTTCCAGAAGCTACTTCTCCCTCCTCTTCGCATATGTAATTTTCCCCAACCAACACACAATAACACCAATTTCCTCTCATACACAAAAGTACATATCGCCTCCACCACTACCCACCACCTTCAATTCAACCCACAACCCAGACCTTCTTACACAAGAACAAATCCTTGCCGCCATTGTCTTCTCAATCCGCCACTCCGTTTCTCTTCCCCTCTTCATCTTCCTAATTTCCTTCCAACCCGAACAGTACTATCTCGCCTCAAAGCCACCTCACCAGATTTTCGCTCTTAAAACAGAGACCCACCAACGGATTCCCAGTTCCAGGATTTGCCCCTTATCCTTCCCCTTTCCTCTTTCGTTGTACCTAGAGCAAATCGACATCGCCATCACCCTTAGTCATCGTCGTTCCATCCACCTCATCGAAATCCCTGATCAACGCCTGGACGTCGACGAACACCAAATCACAGATCTGGTTCATCTTCTCTCCGGCAATACCTCCCCGCTAGGGCTGTTAATGAACCAAGCCGCTCATGAACGACTCGATGTCCGGTTCGAAAAAAATTCGTTCGGTACTCAATTCGTTGTTAACCGAGCCGGCTCGCGAACAGGCTTGTTAACTAACGAGCCGAACTCGAGCCATGACATGTTCAGTTCGATAGGTTCGCGAAGTAGCTCAACTCAAAGGCTCGTTATATTTAATTCACGAACCAGCTCGTTTAGAGTTTGGGAGCGGGCTGGAAAGTGTTAGGGTGGTGGACTGTGGACTAATTTGTTCAATAATACAAAATTATATATAATTTATTTTTAAGCTAAGTAGAGAACCCGTCTGTCTGGTCCCCCACTTTCCTCACTCATTGACTAAGGAAAGAAAGATGAAGAACCCTAGTACTCCTTCGCCGTCATCGCACCTCCTCAGTCATCGACTGTAGTTCGTCTCTGTGAGGTCACATCTTTTATTTCATTCAGCGGCAGATGCTTGCTTCTCCTCCGTCATCCTTCACCCACAATCTTTGATTTAACAGCACTTGTCTCCACTGCTACGGATTGTTGCGTCGCCTTGCTTCCCTCATCGAAGATCCGAGAGCATCCTCAAGCAAGCCTTACATCGGTGTCCCAGCATGCAGAACCGCCTCCATTCATATCTTGTGCTGCAGATTGTAGATCTTCTACTCTTATTACTATAACGGTGAGCAACACAATTCCAATGCAACCTAGACTTTCGATGGGGATAACAGTAGAGAGAGTCTTGACGGATATGGTTTTGGATGTTTAAGTTTACTTGTTTAAGAGTGGAGACTCTCTCTACTGCTTGCTATTGATTTTAATAACAAGGGCCATCTACTTCACGAGCTCTCTCCTGATATACTTTGCTAAGATAAAAGACAAAAACATTAGTTAATTATTTATTGTGATTGTTTACCCTGTTTTACAGTCCCTACAAAATCTTTAATTGAATAGCTTTGGATGTTTCCCCTTTCTCCTTTGTTTATTGTATTTAGTTTTGTTGTTTTTCTTATTTTGGACTAAAGTAGTGTAAACACACATACATCAATGAATAAAGAAGAAACTAAAGTATGTTGTGGTCTTAACATGAGTTAACAGCATTATCTTTGTGGTCCAGAACATTAAAGAAATGGCAGGAGAAGAGTTGCCAGCAAATCTAGCTAATAACAATGTTCCTGCTGCTGCGGTTCAAGTTCAACCAGAGGGCCAACTTCAACCAGTGATCGAAAATCAAGGTGAACAAGAACAACAACCTTATGAACGAAAAAAGCGGAAGAAGACTTCAAAAGCATGGGAGGATTTCAAAGAAGTTGTTGTGGCAGGCGTGAGCAAGCTAGAGTGTTGCCATTGCAAAACCAGATTACATAAAAACCCATCAGGTTGTACGAGTCATTTCTTGAGGCATATACAAAGATGTACAAGGAAGCCTAAATCTGATGGGAAGGAACAGCAACATCTAAGCTTGGAAACTAATGATAGTGTTCTTGCTGTCCAGAACTTCAAAGATGATCATGCTAAGGTACGAGAACTTATGGCTCATTACATCATAGTCCATGAACAACCCTTTGCTGCTGCTGAGTATGAAGTCTTGAACAAGTTAATTAGAGCATGCACTCCACACTATAAAAAAATCTGTCGTTCCACTGCTACAAGTGATGTCTTTGAGACATACAAGATCTTTAAAGGAAAGATAAAATCTCTTCTTGAAGGGGTGAATAGGATGAGCTTAACAACTGATTTGTGGAAATCTAATCAGACTGTGCAGTATATGGTTCTTACTTGTCATTTTCTGGACAATGATTGGGTGCTGCAAAAACGAGTTCTTAATTTCTGTCATGTTAAACCACCTCACACTGGACTTGTTGTGGCTGATGCATTACACAAATGTGTGGTTGATTGGGATATATCTAGAAAAGTGTGGACAATCACAGTAGACAATGCTTCTTACAATGATAGTGCTGTGAAGAATTTGAAAGGCATTCTTAGTTATCAAGGTGCACTTCCTCTTGGCGGTGAAATATTCCATATCCGATGTTCTGCTCACATACTGAATATATTGGTGCAAGATGGTTTGAAAGAGATTCAAGATATAGTTACTGATGTTAGGGAAAGTGTTAAACACATTGCTGCTTCAGAAATTCGAATTACAACATTTCGGGATATTGCTAAGCAACTTCAGTTGCCTGCCAAAAAGCTTGTGTTAGACTGTTCAACTCGATGGAATTCGACTTATCACATGATGTCTACAGCCTTAGAGTTGAAAGATGTGTTTCCTCTGTATAAAGAAAGAGACTCTTTGTATCATTCTCTCCCATCGGAGGAAGATTGGGAAAATGTTAAACTTGTATGTGACTTTCTTGAATTGTTCAATGATGTCACAACAATGATTTCTCGAAGTGCTTATCCAACTGCCAATTTGTTTCTTCCTGAGCTTTGTGATATTAAACTGTTGTTAAAAAAGACTTTGGACTCAAGTCATGCAAGTATGAGGTCTATGGCTTCTCAAATGCTCAAGAAATTTGATAAATATTAGGGTGAGGCTAATTTGGTAGTTTTCCTTGCTGCTGTCTTGGATCCGAGGAACAAATTCAAGATGCTCGAGGCATACTTTCCAGATCTGTACACTCCGGCAGATTCTGAGTTGAATGTTCGAATGGTCCGAGATTAATTGTATAAGCTTTTCCATGAGTTTGTTGAGGATTTCAGAGCTAGAAATGTTGCATCAGCTGCAAGTGATGTTCAAACAGCTCCCTCTGCTTGTACATCAACTGGAAATTCTAAGAAAAGAAGTGGAAGGGCAAGGTTTGATTCCATGGTTCAAAATGTTAACTTTGCTTCTACGATGAAATCTGAACTTGATATTTATCTTGAGGAAGGTCTTTATGTGCACACCGAGGAGTCTATGTTTGACATCATTGGGTGGTGGAAAGAGCAAAGGATAAGATTCAAGGTTTTATCAAGGATGGCATGCGATATTATGGCAATTCCTGTTACATTAGTAGCCTCTGAAGCTACCTTTAGTGCTGGAGGAAGGGTGATTGATCCTCAACGAGCATCCTTGGGACAAGAGACAGTTGAGGCTCCTATCATGGTCTAAGAGGAAATTCTGAGGTGAATTTTAACTATACTGTTTATGTTTAAGTTTTATGTGTTGTTATGCTGTGAATTCTAATTAGAAACTCTATTCTTGTCTTTGTAGGCTATGACGAAGAAAGAAGAGATTATCGAAATTTACTTGGCCTAGACAATCTCGGTTAGTCTTGTTAGCATTTTGTTTAGCTTTGTTATCTACTGATTTTTACTTTCCCCTTCCATTTATCTTTCTTTCTGTCTCTCGTGACTCTTTCTAGTTGCCTCTGGTGGTATGAACTTTGTAGCACTTGGTCTTAAAAGTAGACCAAAAATGGATATATGGAACCCAAAATGAACCTAAAACTGGAAGCCAAACTTTATGCCATCTGAATCATTTCTAGCTTATGTTTGTTTTCTCATTAGAGAGATACTGCTTGCTTATAAGTTATATCACAACATGTAGTTTTGAATTATTTGGTTCTGTTATGAGCACAAATAGAATATAACTAGTAACAAAAAGTGATATGGTAATGGATTTCTCATGTTTATGTTACTTTTACGCAGGGGAATGGGAGTTGACAACTGATGAGTCAAGTTGAAGATGATTAATGCATCTTTCTTTTGAATTTTCAGACTTGTCACTGAGTTTCAAACTCCTTATTTAATGTTGTTTAGATTCTCAGAACTTGTTCACTAATAGGTTTATGTTCGGATGGTAATTGTAATCATGTACTAAACCATCAAACATCTTTTGCCCAATGCGTTGGTCTAAGTAAGATATACATTGTAAGTCCTACAGGTTAGAATGTAATTTCGAGCCGAGCTCGAACTCGATTTTGGCTCGTTAAGCCTTTTTGGCGAGCCAAGCATGAGCCGAGCGCAAGTCGAGCTCGAGCTCTTATTTTCATAAGCGAGCCGAGCTTGAACATTCCTACTAAAGCTCGTGACGAACTCGAGCTTGAGTTTTTTTTTCACGAGCCGAGCCCGAATCATAGCAAAACTCGATTCGACTCGGATCATTAACAACCTTACTCCCCGCCAACCGCAACCGCCGGAGAATCGGGTCGCACGAACAAACCCTTTTCAACACCCGATCGGGAACCCACTCCCGGACGGACCAGAATCGAAGCAAGCATGGAAGACGATGGTTTTGGCTCCCGGAGAGACGATGGGAGGGTGATTAACCCGGTACCAGAAATCATCGTTGACCTTTGCGACCAACATGCAAGGGATTGACATTTCGTTGTAGATGGTGGATATGAAGGAATCTGGGCCACCGAGGGATTCGGTCTTAACGGCGGAGTCCTGAATCAAAAGGTCAGTGACAGATGGGTGCTCGGGAATAGATTGGTCTCGAAGCGATGAAGATGCAAGCGGAAGCAAGCTCGACGCCGGCCATTGGGAAGCTCGCGAAGCCCAACCCTCCAGATCTGGGGGTTTCCAGAAATCGGCCAATCATCTTCCCCATCTCCCTTCTTCCTCCACTAGTCTCCCGCCGATGACTAAATCTGCCCAGAATCTCATTGAGTCACAAGGCGGCCACTTCCATCCCATGTGAAGCGCTTCAATGCGGCTACCGATGTTGATTGGGAAGGCGACTTCTCTTCATCGTCGATGAAGCCCATCATTTAGCTATCTGCGTCTCTTCTTTACATATTCGGCGACAGTGAAAGATTACTTTGGTGAGGCCTACTCCAACTAGGTTGACTGGGTCGCCGTTGGGATCATCGACTCCAGCAGAAGATTCTGTTCGGGGGAAGAAGGGAGATGAGGGAGAGCAATCGACGACACGCTAGGGACATGCTGGGAATAAGAAAGTAATAAGGGTCGGATTTTAAAATACCTGGCGGATAGCAGCTAATTCCAATTTCGATCGGGCCGGATTTGGAAATTTTGGAGGCCCAAATCTTGGCTATTTGTATGACCTATCCAAACAAGAAAATTGCTTAAATTCCTGGACGGGCCCGAATTTGGGCCAAATCCCTTCCCACTTTCCTATATCCAAACGACTCCCTGGTAGATATGGGCTTGCAGAGCAGCACAATCATTGTCAATGACCTTGTGAAACATCATGTTGAATATAGAGATGTTTCCCTCAATGTGGTTGACCTGCGAAAGGATTGTGTACTTGGATCCAAAATTGTGCAATTTTGAAACTGACTTGGTTAGTGTTCTCCATCCCAGTTCATCTTCTGAGTTGCATAAGAGTCCACAACAACAAAATCTGGTTTCTTATCAAAGAGAGAACCTAAATATTTCAGGCTCCCAACTCACTAAACAGAATCTGACATTGGTAAACCATCAGTACGTAGCTGATGCAATTCTACATTGCTTGCTTGCAATTGTCTGTTTTGCAACCAAATTTTATTCAATCTATGCCGACAAAACTACATATAGCTGCGCTGGCATGTTTAGCTATAATTGTTTAAGTGCATAATGGTTCTAAACTTCTAATCAGCCGGCCCTACTAAAACTTGTTCAAGAAACAAAGGGTGGCCATCAGTAGTAATCTTACAAGTTACAACCTCATCTAACAATTTAACAAACCCAAAAAAAAAAGCAACAAAATCTAAGGATATGGTAGAACAATCAAACAACTAAACTAATAAAAAAACAAATTGGTCCTTCAAATTTCCTCTCAATCACCCTTTTGATTGGTTGCTCTGCCTACAAACATTTTCCTCCATACCCTGCATTTGAAAACAATGCTTGCTTCACATCCCCTGTATTTGCCCCCGTTATCTGCTCTGTTTCCTGTCACCCAAAAAAACAAGGGGAAAAAGCCGTTGAAAATTTGCATTGTCATATATGGAATTGCGCAAGAGAATGATATAAAATTTATAAGGAACGACTTCTCTAACCGGATTCATACTCAAAACAGTAATCAAACATGTGGTTTACCTGGTGGGAGCAAGTTGCTTGCATTGCGAAATCGTGGAAGCAGCTAATGACGCACTGTTGAATCTCCAGCCCCAATGCTTCGATTGTGGAGAGAGTGGAGACCAGTAGTCCAGGCTTCGCAGCACAGCATATCTCTATCCTCGTATCTTCCTTCCTTCTCTCCACCTCAAACTGACCACCCGCCAAATGAAATTTCCGCATTACACAGAGTCAGAGGCTAAATTTATCAAAACAGAGGGAAACAAAAAGTCGATTCCTTTTCGGTAATTTCCTGTACCTTGGGAGCATTCTTCACTACGGCTTCGCCTCCGTCGCCGGCAGAGTCCTTGAAAACGGTGGCGGAGGCGAATTCGTCAGAACCCTGATCTTCCAATTCCTGTTGTAAAGTGTTGATTCTCTCCAGAAGCTCCTTCATGTAATCTATGGTGTCCCCGAGAATCGAAGTCCTGTCCATCTGAAAATCCCACCCAAACATTTTAAAAACCCAAATTTTGTTTTCTTCTTATGGTTAAAACAGGGGTCGGATTGAAATGCAGCAGTTTAGTGTTTATACCTTGCTGATTTTGGGAACAATAGACCGGAGCAACGACAGCCGGTCGTTGAGCCTCTTCCGCCGCCGCCTCTCCGCCATCAGATTCTTCGACGGCTGCCCTGCCTCCGCCCTCTTCCCCCTTCCCGGCCCCCTTCTCTGAGGAAATGCCCCCACGCTAAACAATGCCGCCTCCGCCTCCTCCTGAACCGGTTCTTCCACCTTAAACCCGCCACCGTCGCCGCCGCTGTGCTCTGCTCCCGACGACGGCGTAACAGAAGCAGCAAAAGCTTCCTCCGGAAACCCACCGAACGACGCCGCCATTTCAATCGGGTTATACGAACCCGAGCAGTACATGGCCGTGAATTCCTGCTCCAGGGACGCCGTCGACGAGGGGCAGAGCTCTTCTTCGTGGAAGTAACTGAAAGCAGGCACCACCGCATTACCATCTCTGTTAATCATCATTTGGAGATGGTTATCAGCCCAGTAATCGTAGTTATTGTTCCAGCCGGGATTAGGAAAGAAATGATGATTAACAACCCCATTGCTGCTGAAGTTGTCGACCGGGAAACTCGTGCAGGGGATGTCCCAATTGAAATGGGGATCCAATAAGCTCTCGTGATTCTCAATCACCTCCTCCATTATTAATGGCGATTTCTCTCACTGTAAATGGAATGAAGTGATAATTCTAGTTTTGGGGATCCCATATATAGAGGCCAGAGGGGAGATATAAGCCATAGCCATAGATGGTTTAATTATTGTTACGTAATTCCAAGTTAGGATTAATAGTATATTAATATCATATAATAATAATAATAATAATCACGCTCTGGATGCGGGAGTCATTTTCACCGAAATCTGGTTTAAATCATAGTAATAGGTAAACTGATGAGAATTGAATATGGAATGGATTGAAATGGAAATATGTGAGCCAATAAGAGTTCACCATCTGTCTGGAGTTTTCTAGACAAGGAAATATCTCTTGTCACGTTAGGTGACAGAACACCTAAGACCAGTGCATTTACGCCATTTTGTGATCATTCACGCCATTTTATGTTTATTCACGTAATAATATGGTGATTTACGTAAGAGTGTAAGTTTTTCACGTAAATAGAAATTCATACCTTTTCCCCCTAATAATTTGTATTGGCTATATTTAATGGAATTAAATATGGAAAACCCAGGAGCATTCGTATTTTTATTTTTTTGGTTCACATAGAAAAAAAGGGAAAAAAAAAAGAAAAAGAAAAATGGGCCTGCTCTATTAGCACTCACTATATTCCGCCAAGTCTTGTTGTGGATGAGTTGTGATTTGTGATCAATCTTACATGACCCCATTTGCTTAATATCTCCTCCCACCACATGTTTGTTCTATTGATGCCTGGTGGCGTTGGAGAGTATGGGAGGAGATTGGGCCATAATTAACACCCCACCAATTCGACAATGGTGTTCACGGTCCTTTTGTGGGAGGGTTCTTATAAGGTTGGGAGCCGTCAATTAAGTGTTTGGATGTTCTCTAGTTGTTGAATGAACACGGTAGTATTTTAAATATAAAATTGGCATCTCGTTCGTTTAATGGTCACAAAGAGTTTAAC